GGTGTTTGTTCTTTCTTTAGAATCGATTTGCGTAAAAATTGCACAAAAGAGAAGAGTGTTCAGCATGCACTTTAGCTGGCAGCTTTAGAATCGCCAACACCGACGACGGGCGTTGCTGTCTCCATTGGACATGGCGTGGGCTGCCCCAGCTAACAGCAGACGGCGACTGACGGCTGGGTGGGGGGGTGGGGGGGAGAAACGTCTCAGGAAGAGCGTTTCCATGCATCGAGCAAACCTTGCCTTGCGTTCGTGCTAGTTTCTGCTTCCCGTGCTGTCGGCTGAGAGTACCATTCACAATCATGAGCCTACAGTAAGGGAGTGATGTGGCAACGCGAAGCAAGCTATGTGTTCGATCGACGGTTGATTCGTGACAATCTGTTCTTTGGACAAACAGATAGATAGATAGATAGAGAGAGAGAGAGAGAGAGAGAGAGAGAGAGAGCGAGGAGAGAGAGAGAGAGAGAGAGAGAGAGAGAGAGAGAGAAGAGAAATGATAGATATATATAATATATTCTATTAATATTATATATATATATATATATATATCTTATATATATTTCTATATATTTGTGTGTTGTGTGTTGTGTGTGTGTGTGTGTGTTGTGTGTGTTTGTTTTGTTGTGTGTGTGTGTGTGTGTGGTGTGTGTGTGTGTGTGTGTGTGTGTGTTGTGTTGTTGTTGTGTTTTACAAATTTAACATTTGACAATTAGAAAAAAAAATTCATTAGTCTTGATAATCTTCAACGTTTCACACCCTTTGCATATGAACGGCCCGTTTTGCCGCACAAGTTCTCACGTACAAGACAAAAATACACCGTAACTACAATTTCACTCATTGCTTTCAGTCATTCAGCTGTTAGACAATATCACGAAAAAATCATATTCGGATTCACTTCGTTAGTCGTGACACGGCTCAAGCATCGATTCAGCCCTAGCGTTATGAGGCAGGAGCCCTCCACCGGAGCGGCCAGCGTCACCGCGCGACTATGTCACTCGCAGCGTGGCCGGGCGAGCCCTCCACCGGAGCGGCCAGCGTCACCGCGCGACTATGCCACTCGCAGCGTGGCCGGGCGAGCCCTCCACCGGAGCGGCCAGCGTCACCCGCGGTACGATTTCACTCGCAGCGTGGCCGGGCGAGCCTCTCCACCTGTAGCGGCCAGCGTCACACTCTCGACTATCCACTCGCAGCGTGGCCGGGCGGCCCTCCCCGGAGCGTCCCTCTCCCTCGAGCGCGACTATGCCACTCGCAGCGTGGCCGCGGCGAGCCCTCCACCGGGCGGCCAGCGTCACCGTGCGACTATGTCACTCGCAGCGTGGCCGGGCGAGCCCTCCACCGGAGCGGCCAGCGTCACCGCGCGACTATGCCACTCGCAGCGTGGCCGGCGACCCTCCACCGGACGGCCAGCGTCACCGCGCGACTATGTCACTCGCCGCATGGCGGGCGAGCCACCCACCGGAGCGGCCAGCGTCACCGCGCGACTATGTCACTCGCAGCGTGGCCGGGCCATGACGGCGACATGCAGGCGGCGTCGGCGCGTCTGGGTGTCGTCGTGGCGTGACCAGGTTGATTACAGACAGGAATTGGTACTCAGGGCGCAGCTGCGGTCGGAGCTCACCACGCGACGTAAGTAAGTCCATAAAACGTGGGAACGATTTAGGCTGTCTGAATAGGTAACCCCACTAGTAGTAGGCAACATAATTCTCAAGCAGATTAACATACCTATATGCATGCACCTCTTCTGTGAGAGACACGCTAACAAGTGCTCATGAACAGGGGCAGATACATCATCAGGGTTAGACACATCATCAGGAGCAGGATACATCATCAGGGAAAGATGCATCATCAGGGGCAGACACATCATCAGGGTCAGACACACCATCACGAGCAGATACATAATCAGGGACAGATACATCATCAGGGGCAGGTATATCGTCGAATTTGGGAGGGGACTTAAGTCTTGACCCAGCAGCAAGCTCGGTGACCGAGTCATTGATGAACCATCTCTGGCCTGTTCACAGTCCAGACCTATTGCTGCTGGACTTCTGCTTGAGGTCTGGGGTCCGGGCAGAAGGCCGGCCAGCCTGCCGACTACGACGGAACGGGCTGAGGAGGGCCGTGGAGGAGCGCACCACGGCCCCGGGCCGGAGCAGACGTTATTGGTGCCGTCCGGAGCCTCCACCCTCCCCCGCCGCGCCGAGACGTCCGAACAGTGCAACGGCGCCGCCGTGGACGCTGTGTGCCCACCGCAGGGCGAGTAACCCCAAAAGTAACCCTGTTCCGGCATTGGTTTGAGCTTGTCTGAAAAGGTGCTCACAGCAAGCACAGCACAGTGCTTCCCAACGTTTTTCAAAATGATCAGTTCCAGCGAATAGTCACTGAAGGCGTCGCCTGCGTTTCGCCAGTAGAGGTGGGGGGGGGGGGGGGGGCTGTCTGATGCGTACACACTGCCGGTCACATGGGCGGCGATGACGCGACGTGGCTGATGCCGATCTAACCACGCCACCGGCGCCGCCATTATTCCGAGGCCGCGTGAACTGGGAGGAGGGTCGGCGGACGCTGCCACGGCTGGCCGATGTGCGCGACGGGGAAAGTCTCGCTATTTCCGTCGTGGCTGGACAAGCAGGACTATCAGCCTCATCTGCCGTAAACAGACAAACACGGTGGACTCGCCGCATGCCCCTGGTAAGAACTGGTTTTGCGCTTGCTTGATTGTGCTGGACTCAAGGTAGGTGTGCTGCGAGCTTGGGAGCAAAGGGGGCAAAATGAGCGACATTTGGGAGAGCTTCAGCTCACCCAGCTGTGGAGACGGCACCACCGCCCACGACGCAGCAGATCGGGTTGGCTGCGTGCTGCGGACGCCTCTCGCTCGTCATGTGAGCTCTCCAGTGTGACGCGTCCCCTTCTGAAGCGCGCAGCCCAGCCCCAGCGAAGGGCCGCGAAAGAAAACACGCCATCAAATAAAAACGCCATAGACGCACCTACCCAAGGACGGAGGGGTGTGCTAATGGGACATTCTCGTCCCCGTTCCACATGTGCCGGTTCCAGACCTTGGGCATGGCACGGGTCGACGAGACACCAGCCGAATACCACGCGCAGGCAGAAGACAGCGATATGTGACGTCACGAGCGCAGTACCGTAAAAGCACTGATCGGAACAGTCACACGAGACAGAGGAAACTCAGCACGGGCGCAGAATACTTGCTCGAACCGCATCGCCCTGGCTCGGGAGCTACCGTCAGGATCTCAATACTTGCCCTATGAGATAGCTTGAGATGGAAATCCGCTCAGAGTCGATACACTTTGAACCCAACTTGGCATCTAACCCCAGCAATCATGACTGACTACCATGAAACTCAATCCTTATTGAGGACAGAATTGCTAGAAAGCATGCACTGCAAGCGTGAAAGCATGTATCCCATCTAGCAGATTCTCATTGTTACTCAGCTGTATATTACGTATGAGAACATAACGTGGGTGACGGATGTAGCAGTGCCGGTCGGCAGTGACACCTGCGACCCGCGGTGGCCGCACTGCTGTCCCACAGGCGCGTGGACGCCGTTCCAGTGCCTGTCACCCCACGCCCATGCGGCACCGCGCTGGTGCCAGTAGACGTCCTCACGCATGGAGCCGGCCTCGACAAGCCCAGTCACTCTCACGCCGCCGGAGCGGCGCGGCGAACCGGCGCACCTCACGCACCGGCGCGCCGCTGACGGCGTTTTTGCGCGTGTGAAAACGTGACCTGGTCGCCCATTTGGTGCCGCCAGCTCTCTCCTCCCGCCCGCGAGAATAGTGCGAAACAAACAGAGCGACGGCGAGCGGCCCATTTGTTTGAGCCACGGACGATGGAGAGCGATCCGTTTGTTTGAGACACGAGCGACGGAGAGCGGTCAGTTTGAGCCGCGAGAGCCGTAGAACGGCCCGTTTATTTGAGCCATGACCGACGCAGAACGGCCCGTTCGTTTGAACCACGAGCGACGGAGAGCGGTCAGTTTGTGTGAGCTACGACAGACGTAGAACGGCCCGTTTGTTTGAGCTATGAGCGACGGAGAGCGGTCAGTTTGTTTGAGCCAGGAGCGACGTAGAACGGCCCGTTTATTTGATCCATGGGCGACGCAGAACGGCCCGTTTGTTTGAACCACGAGCGACGGAGAGCGGTCAGTTTGTGTGGGCTACGAGCGACGTAGGACGGCCCGTTTGCTTGAGCTATGAGCGACGGGGAGCGGTCAGTTTGTTTGAGCCACGAGCGACGCTAAGCGCTCCGCTCCTTGTTGCGGCGGCCGCGGACACGCTCTGCGGGCGCAACGTCCAGAAGCAACTGCCCAGCGTCGCTGTATAGGTTGAGCAGTGATGCCCCAGCAATACTCTTGATCGATGATTTCAATGTCATTGTTGCACTGCACCAGTGCTCTCGACGATAGCGCGAACGTGCTCCGTCCCAGTTGCCCTGGATCTGGTATGGAGACTAGGTAAGTGAGGTCCCCGCTGTAGTACCTCCGATCATACTTTTCTTCCATAATCTGAGCCAAAACTATTTTTTCGGGTTGGTGCACTTCGGTAAAAATCTGACAGTGGCGCACTTCACCGGATGTGAGAGCGCGCTCAGGGGCAACCGGCATGCGGTCATTATATTTAGGGGATGCACGATCGAATTAAAACAATGCGAACAGCAAAATCCCGTCGCAGCACGCACAACTACGACAGCCAACGAACGACAGCCGAAACACGCAGGGCCCGTTAATCTCGGAGATGGCTTGCCTCCGCGGACGCACGGAATGTAGGCCCACGTCAATGAAGACAAGGTTAGAACACAGCCACACCGTTTTGCGGGAAGCACAAGTCTCTCAACGGCGACGTTTGGCACAGCACTGAGAACCAACGCCGCAGACAGGCGCAATCCTGCCATGCATGAGAACCGTATTCCTGGCTGCCCCCGACAAGGAAGAAGCTGTCCGGTAGGCGCATCGCACAGGAGGCCGCTGCGCCCTCTAACCCGCTACTGGTTCAGGCCGACAGCGCCTGAGAGGCGAGACTGGCCCCCTCCTGCAGGCCGGTCAGCTGCTCGCTCAGCTGCGCCAGCCGGCGCATGAAACTCCTCCTCGGCCGCCTGAGAGCCGACGGGCGGCGGCCGCCGGCCCTCGTCCCCGCCGCCGCCGCCGCCGCTCGACGGCTGTTGCACACCGCTGCCGTCGCCGGGCGCCCGCTGGTCTCCACCGGCGCCGCCGCTGGCCGGGCGCTGGCAGCCTCTGCCGTCGGCGGGCGCTCGCCGGTCGCCGCCGCCGCCTGCGCCGGCGCCGCTGCTGCCGCTGGGCCGCCGCTCGGCGTCGCTGGCGGCGGGGGGCGGTCGGCGCCGAGCCCGCCAGCGAGCCGAGCGAGATGTCGGGCAGCTCGCGCGGGAACGGCCGCGGCGGCAGCGGCTTCCGTTACGTCCAGGCTGAGCAGGCTGGCCTCGCGGCCGGCCCAGAGCGACGCCGGCCGGCCGCCTCCGTCGCCGGCGCCGTCCGGTCCTGGCCCGTCGGCCCTCGGCAGCGACTGCAGCTTGGACACGAGCGGGCCCAACGCCGGCAGCTCGGCGCTGGCCAGTTGCTGCAGCTGGCGTACGGCCAGGTCGTGCAGCGACCTGCGCACGCGGAGGCGAACCAGTGAGGCTGACGGGGCGCCGGCAGCTGGCCCGGCAGGCCAACGCACAGCTGTGAACGCGACTCGGTTTCAAGAACGCAGCGAACTGAAAATATCAGTTTTCGTATGCAAGTATCCGCTGCAATTAGTACCAAACTTATGTAAGAAATCCAACAGGTCGCATTGTTACTAGTCCCCGCTCGTGTCCTGGCCACCAATCTCCTCGCCCCCGTCCGGTACGCACTGGTTGAGGGCGGCGAGACGCTCCACCTCGGCGTCCCGCTCGGCCAGCGCCCGCCGCAGCTCGGCGTTCTCCTGCGCTCGCTGCGCTAGGCAAAGCTGCACCGCCTCGGCGTCCTGGGTGGGCGAGAAGCGCCGGTCACAGTGGCGCCGCAGGTCGCAGGGAGGGAGGGGCGCCGGCGCAGCGAACCGCCGCCGGCACAGCGGCGCCGCAGGTCACAGGGAGGGAGGGGCGCCGACGCAGAGGACCGCAGCCGGCACAGCGGCGCCACAGGTCACAGGGAGGGAGGGGCGCCGACGCAGAGGACCGCAGCCGGCACAGCGGCGCCACAGGTCACGGGGAGGGAGGGGCGCCGACGCAGAGGACCGCCGCCGGCACAGCGGCGCCACAGGTCACGGGGAGGGAGGGGCGCCGACGCAGCGGACCGCAGCCGGCACAGTGGCGCCACGGATCACAGGGAGGGAGGATCACCGGTCACGACGGACCGCCGCCGGCACAGCGGCGCCACAGATCACAGGGAGGGAGGGGCGCCGGCGCAGCGGACCGCCGCCGGCACAGCGGCGCCGCAGGTCACAGGGAGGGAGGGGCGCCGGCGCAGCAGACCGCCGCCGGCACAGCGGCGCCACAGGTCACAGGGAGGGAGGGGCCCTGCAAGGTCATGCAGCGTGGCCGCAGCGTCGATCGTCACAACACAGACAGGTGGGCAACACACGAGACCTATCTGCGTACTTCATACAATCCCAGGAGATCGGCCTGCAACGGCGGCCGTTTGCCGTCTACTTGTCATGCACTGAGCGCACCAAGACAAGAAAGCATTTGAGATCACATATAGTGAGATGGCAATTGTTCTTTCAAGGGCGCAACAGTCAAACGGCCTAAAAATACTCGCGCACTTTACATCACCCCACATTACACACTTTTGTCTGTGCATTGCGGCTTGTGGACAAGCCACCACAGAGCTCTAAAAATGATGGACTGGAGGAGTCCTTGTGAACAGAGAGACAGCGATGACTTACGGCACGAAAGGTACCCAGGATCTCTGTCTCGCTGGTGACCTGCGCCAGCACCTGGGACAGCTGCGTCTCGTGCTCCTCCCTCAACGCCTTCAGTTCGGCCGCGTGCGTGTCCTCCATCGTCTGGCGGGGGAGGGTCGGTCGTCAACGGAACCACGAAGGCCAGAGAGCCAGATGTCCTAGCAGGTGGACAGCCAGACGTCCTATCAGGCCGACAGCCAGGCGTCCTATCAGGCCGACAGCCAGGCGTTCTATCAGGCCGACAGCCAGGCGTTCTATCAGGCCGACAGCCGGGCGTCCTATATCAGGCGGACACCCAAACATCCCATCAGGCGGACAGCCAGACGTCCTATCAGTCGCACAGCCAGGCGTCCGTCAGGCCGAAAGCCAGGAGTTCTATCAGACAGACAGCCGGGCGTCCTATCAGGCGGACACCCAAACATCCCATCAGGCGGACAGCCAGACGTCCTATCAGTCGCACAGCCAGGCGTCCGTCAGGCAGCCAGCTATCAGACACAGCCGGCGTCCTATCAGGCGGACACCCAAACATCCCATCAGGCGGACAGCCAGACGTCCTATCAGTCGCACAGCCAGGCGTCCGTCAGGCGGACAGCCAGGCGCCCTATCAGGCAGACAGCCAGGCGTCCTATCAGGCGGACAGTCAGGCGTCTCATCAGGCAGACACTCAGGCGTCCTATCAGGCGGACAGTCAGGCGTCTCATCAGGCGGACAATCAGACGTCCCATCAGGCGGACAGCCAGGCGCTCCACGCAAACGCCGACAGAGGCTCCCTACTAACTGGAGATTCGCGACTCCTTCGCCTGCTGAGCGAAGGACATCCTACAAATGTCAGGGGCAGTAGCCAACCGAGTTGTTTCTGCCAGAGGGATAGAATTATTACGTCTATCTGCAAACTATATATGGCTTCACATTAACACCAATTCTTAAATAAGCGGCCAATGGCAGGCACTCATCAGACCAGTAATATTTTCCCCACATCTGGCCACGAGGGGGCGACCTTTGAAAGCCCCACAAATTTTGAAAGTCAGGAATGGTGGAAAGCGACTGTCCAATTGACTTGATTGGTACAACGTGCACTGAAGAACTGATTAGTCCATGACCACATATCCATGCTCATGCTCAGAGCAATCTATACTCATGCTTAGAGCAAGGGAAAGACAAGTCACTGTTTCCCTCATCAATACACATACATCCATGACAGCAGGGACACCAACTGCTCCCAATATCACAAGTAAGCTAACTGCAAGCCTTCTCGGTCAGCCAGCGACCCACCTGTACAGTGGAGAGCAGGTTCTCCTTGGTCTTTTTCAGCTCCTTGGCGTACTTCTTATACTTGGCCAGCTGATGCCGCACGTCGGCCAGCTCTGCCGAGCGCACCTCGGCCGCCGCGTCGCCGTCCGGCTGCGCCTGGCCGGCGTCTCGCTGCGCCTGGCCCAGCGTTTGCCGGTACTCCCGCATGGAGGCGCTCAGCGTCTGAAACTTCCTGGTCCCGGGGGCCAGCCGTCAGTGGCGCGGCGGAACGAGCACAGAACGCGCCTCGGAAGGGCCGGCTGGGCCAGCCGTGTCAGCTGGCCACCACGAGGGAGTCGTGCATAAAGCTCTAGGGTCATCTCACACATAGTTACACCAGTTTGCAAGACTTGAACAATGCCTGCTCCAATCCAAATGAGCGAAGGATGTCGTATTTCAATTGGCGTCAGGAAAACAAAATACGCTAGCAGCTTTGCAAGTAATTCCAGCATTATTTATGTATATTAGTATCCCCTACTGGGTATACACTGCACATCCAATGCCCACAGAAACAGCTATTTCTGCCTTCGAGCGGACCCCACCGGTTCAGGGGTCCCTGGGACCGCGCACGAGCAGCGCTCCCGTTCCGTCGGCGTCACCTCTGCAGCTCCTCGTTCTCCTCCTGGATCTCCTCGAGCCGGCGGCGTAGCAGGCCGTCGTCGCTGGCGTCAGAGGCGGAGGCTGGCACCGGCGGCAGCCGCACCGTCTCCTCCAACCGGCTCAGCAGCGGCCGAAGGTGCGCGATCGCTACCGGGTCAGACCGGACGCGTCAGCGAGCGGACCAGGTGAGAGATGCCGGGTCAGACCGGACGCGTCAGCGGGCGGACCAGGCGAGCACCGTCGCCAGCCCACAGCTTAGACGCTGCCACGTCAGCCGTCCGAGAGTGATGTGGCGCAGCAGCGCGCCACCATCCAGCCAAGGCAGCCGCACTCATCAAGGCGTGAAAGAGCTTGCGGAATGTTAGAAGTGTGGAGCAGTGGATGTATGTAATAAGACAGGTAGCACACAGAGCTGTGCGATGCGGGGAAGACGAAACAGTACTCGATGCTGAGTTGCAGGTGAAACCACACAAAGTGTCTCAGCACCTCCCACATCTCAAAATTACTTGCTGGCCATGTTACTGCGCGAAGTCAGAGATGGTATAAAAACACGCGCCCAAAAAAATCAAGCCGAGAGCTGGCAGTCACACATACCAGGGCGTTTCTTGATCTCCTGCACAAGCCGGTTGAGGTTTTGAGTCCACGTCCTGAACTCATCCGGCGTCACCTGGCGAGCGGGTTCGGCCGGCGGCACGGGCTGCTCCGGGGAGGCGCGGCCCGTCGGCAGCCGGGCCGTCGTCCTGCGCTCGGGCGGCGGCGCCGGCGCCTGGCCCCAGCCCCTCGTCGGACCGCGCGCCGGCGGCGCCGGCGGGCCGCCGCGGCCGCGCCCGGCCTGTGCGGCCCGGGCCGCTGGCGCCTCGGGCGAGCCGGTCCGCAGCTGGCGGCCGTCCACCGGCTCCAGCACCGGCTGCCAGCTGGGCAGCTGGCGGCCGGTGTGCGGCCGGCTGGGCAGCTTCATTGACAGCGGCCGGCCGTCCTTACGGACCGGAATGGCTGCGGGCCAGGCCGGCTCAGTGGTGGCTGATGGGCGCAGGCCGGCACCACGCTGCCGTGGTGCCTTCGACTTGATGAGCACCTCAACCAGTGTGTTAGAGTTCTGGTACACTGACCGGCGGATGATGTTTCCCTCGCCGGGTGGCACAATGGCCGTCATATCTGGAACACATGGTGTTAAAACAACACTGAAATCACACTTGACATCTGGGAAGATAAATTTTAATTTTATTTGCATGTCATCTCCAAGCCATTTGGTTTTAGTTTGAGCTCTGCAGATCATAATCTTGTATAATATTAATAATATGCTACCAAAATCTAGCAGTTTACCAAGGCACTTCATTGATATTTAAACACCAAAGCTTGTTTGCAAGACATGACTAACTTGAATAAAGACCTTATATTTCGAGCAATTTCATGATCACAAGTCAAGTGACGATGACATTACAAAGTCAAGTGATAATTAGCAAGTTACAGGAAGCAGACCCCAATCATGCCTGAAAATTATCACTTATAACATTACACAAGACATGGGATCAAATTCTCTTTGTATCTTCCTCTCCCACTCCTCATCTCCAGAATAGTAGACCTGAGTTAGCTACTGGTATGTCCGTATGCTGGCATTACGGTTACAGGCCGCGTACCCATGCAAGTTCAAACAATCCGAAATCAAATGAATCTAGTAAAAAAACATACAGCAGCAAAGGCACTGCCACTTATTGTACCACGTCTTTCTCACCACTTACCTTCCTTGTCCTCTGTGCAACGTATTAACAGTAAATACTCTTCGCTGACAACAGCCAGGCCCCTCGGTCAGGCCCCCCTTTCGAATCAAGGGACGCCAACATATTTGCTCAGCGGTTGCTAGATGTATGCAACGGTAGTGGAGGCCAAAAACATTTTCAAGTGCAGTGACGTCATAAAACCACAAAGTATTTGTCAGCCAAGTAAGAGTATACTAAACTAAGCAGCTACAGTTTTAAACTGCCTTTCATGCAGTCAAAGTGACAAACACAAGTCACTGATATGCTTGGGTGCGTGGAATTGATTGGGAGACAAATAGAATAAACTAAGCTCATTTCTGTCAAGCCTGCATCGTTCTCCAATGCCGGCTACAAGACCGAGGAAGCTGCAGCTACGCAACAGAAGGATAGGTGCTGAACCTTCTCTGTCACTTGAGCGGCTCATATCACGAAGACGGCCGATTGTGACTGAACCTCACGTACTGTTTAGATTGGCTTGAAGACCCCCTTGCAAGAAGTCAGAGTGGGCTTCCGAATGAGCTACTTCACACATACCACAATATTTAGGCTCTTATTTTATTACTGTAGTGGTATAAAAATTAGCTAACGGCTCGAAACTTTCATTCAGGAGCTCGTCACCCGGCTGGTAGTTTATAATGGTCTTGTGACGTTTCTTGCGATCAGCTGAAAGTGTTAAAGAAACTCACCAGTGCAGCATGATCAGCTGAGAGTCGCGCCGCAACTGGCGTCGGTAATACATACGGTCTTAGTGGGTGAGCGGTTTGGTCGAGGGGGGTATTTACTATTAGCATTGTATGGCACAGACAGGTAAAGCAGGGGGCCAGAGGAACGCATGAATCCTGGGCCATGTTTTATGCAGATGGGGTGTGATCTGCTTACTGGACTCGGTTGATTCGTTACATGTTGAGAGGTGCGAAGCCATACGCCGGGAGCGCGTAATGAACACCCCCCCATGACGTGCAATCATACACGCTTAAAATAGACTCAAGGGGAAATGTTGATGATGACTACAAAAGTTTGTTCTTGGCTTGAACTGCACGTGAAACATCACTCAGCTGCCTGTCATGTACTTAAATTGTACTGTTGTGGCCTGAAGGCCAGGTGATTGTTGGACAATCAGTTATTGTGCTGCTCTCAAGCTTTTGATGTATGCCCTTCCCATTTCAGTGGGTCTTCATTTCCAGATAATTTAAGGAATAATGCCCCAAAAGTATGATGTTGACGATGAGCCAATTGCAAAACAGACCACACCATGCTCAGGATTGAGGGAGGAGCTGAAGACATGCATTCTGGAGAGTCAGTGTGTGAAGGTTAGCTGTGGGGATGTTGACACATTAAGGTGTGAAATTACTAGGATAGCTCACTGATGGCATGTATGTCATGAACTGTTATATAGTGTTGCATAAATATTCCATTAAAATTACTTGTCAGTGTACTCATTGCTATCCAAATATTGTCTGACATATTGTAGGTAGTACTCTGTTCAACCTATGTCAAGGAAGCTGCTTTTAAACACTTGTTTTGCTTTTGCCAGCAATGCAACTTGATGTTTTGATCACTGTGTTGGGTACCAATGGTGGCTTTGCTCCAGGGTGGCAGATTACCAAAGGACTGTCTAACTCATCCAGACCACACTGTTCCTGATGAGTGTCTTCAACTCAAGTGGTCCTTCTTTGAATGCAAAAGGTCATTGGTAAGTAGCAGCTCTGGATAGATCAGGCACAGTGACAGCCTGCCTCACTTGGCACCATGTGGGGTGTGTTTTGCAAATGTATCGGAGTCTTCAAAAGAGCGTGGGAGAAGTTTGATAATGTTTGTGAACTTCCCTACCTGGATAGCAGTCAGTGGGAAACAGACACCCAAAGCTGTCTGCTGTAATACATTTGATGTTTTGATCAGGACCAGTTGGATAAATGTAACAGTAGTTGAACATATTTATTTTTTGACTATTGCAAATAACTGCTCAGATTGTCATAAACTTTATTATTATTATATCACTTATATCACAAGTGCCCTGTGTTTGTCAGTGCTCCTCATGGTATCTAAAGATGAGCTGATTGTTGGCATGTTTTCATTAGCTGTCCTTATTGCCTGAAGTCGTTCAGGTATCTGTTCAGTTGGCAGCTCAGCTGCGCCGCCTGAAGATGTGAGGCACGCTTACCACCTTCCTTCCGCCAAACCGCGCCGGCCGCGCGTGAAACGACCAGCTGATGGCTTATATGTACTGACTGTCATAATTTTGGGCATGAACCGTGGTTATGGTATTTGAAGAGTGTGGGTACTGCGATGTCAGGCGTGTTGGCCGCTTACTGGGCGTGTTGGCCATTTACTGGGCCGGCACCACCGCTGGGTGCCGGCTCTGCTGTTTCCTGGGGCCGGGCCGTTTGCGGTTTCCTGTATAGATGGCGCTGCAGTCGCCAGCACGCAGCAGACTTCGCTGTGGGATTTGTGGTGCGTGTGTGTGCGTGCATGTGTTTAAAATGGGCCCTAGAATGTCACATCAAAACGTTATGGGTGTTTGCTTGTTTTATTGAGATAGATGTCTGTTTCCTGGTGATTCCATAGGGGAACGTCAAAGTTGCCAGACGCGTCGTAGTTTTTAGTATTACGTATTACCAGAACCAGTGGTACTTTTGACTGCCGGTTTTCATGTTTTGACTGGGACGTTATGGTTGGCAAGCCTTGCAGGGACCATAGGCTAATGCAGCGAAATTATCTATTAGTACGCCTTTGAAACACGAATGAAGGATTTACAGTTGTGGTGAAGTGGTGCTCTTTAGATTGTTTATTAATGCGTGAAATTGCCCATTTCATTGGCATATTAGCCACTAGATTGGAGCATCCGTAGCATTTTGTGATAGTCTCTGTGTTTGGTTGGTTTGGATTCCAATCTAGATAGAGTCGAGTAGATTGCAATGCTAGCGGCGAAATGGCGAGATTAGAATAGATTGTAATGTGCGCGGCGAAATGTTGAAGTAGCTATCATCATGCGACGAAACGAAGGACGACTGGTGGAGAACGGACGTATGCGTCGTGCACTCTGTTTCTCTGAAGGAAATGTGGGCACAGACATGGGGTGTCAGTTTTGTAGATCACCGGAAGGAGGCCGAACCGAGGGTCCGACCACCTACCCCTTCCCCCATTTTTGTGTCAAACGGATTTAGCGCAGTTTTTTGTGACAAAAGGTAAGTTATCTCCTAATGTTTCAATAATTAAACTGTCAGAGACATAGGAGTCACGCAGAGAAGGATATGGAGGGGATGGGGGCACCGGAGGCACGTACCCCGTCTGATCAGAAAAGAGAGGCGCCCCTCTAGAGGTCGTACTGAGGCACTGAAGGCACTTCTACG